TTTTTTTTTTTAAATAAAAGCCTTTCTATTAAACAAACTTTATTAGATTAATAAACTTATAAGTTAAGTAATATATATTATACGTGTGCCTACCAAATACAATTTTAATTATCGCGATCTTTCTTTTTTCCTCAATGTTACTTTTTTAAATTATAAAAAATGTACTAACTTAAATTATAAATATATTTAAAAATTAATAATTTTTTTTACTTATTATCAATTATTTGTATATATTATATTAATTAATCATGTCTATGAGCTAAGATAAGACATCTATATTATACATACAAAATAAATAACTATATCTATTTTTATTATACTAATTAAATTACCTATTAATATTGCCCAAAATCAATTTATTTAATATTAAATCGATGAATGATATAATTAAGCATAGATTAAATTAATCTCTTTCAATTTTTCGTTTTAGCTTATTACCTTTCTTTTTGTCTTGGTTTTGGATTTATTTTTTATTATTTAGTTAAATATATTGGTTAACTGTATCCAAGACAATATTTGATTATGCTAGATCGATTTTTATTAGATACTTTATGTGTAACTAAATTCATGGATTTAACTATTTAGTATATATATTCATTGATTTTCAAATAAATGATATGTGAGTATATGAAACTTAGTGCTATACCTCATTTATTTATGTGGCATATTAAATGAAATGACATATGAGTTTTAAATGATATGTCATATAACAAGAATGATGGACTATTACGCCATCACATAATAGTCTTTTTAATCAATTATTTTGTTTTTTGAATTAAATTCACGTACATGAAAAAAAAATTATCTTTGTATTTTTTTTAAATAATAAATTATTTACAATTATATATATATATATATATATATATATATATATATATATATTAAAAACCAACATATTTACCAAAATAGTAGCAAGAAAAGTCAACACGCATTTAATGCATACCTTATTTTGAATTTTTTTACTATATGCATTAAATGCTTGCATATTTACATTTATTATCCAGATATGATCTTAAAGATTTTTTCCTTAAATTATTTATGCAACGATTTTACTGATATCCATTATAATTAATATTTGTCGAGTAATATTTTTTAACCTTTATTTAATTATATAAAACTAATATTTTTTATAAAAATTATATTATTTATCATTTAAATGATAATGATCACATCATTAAATGATTTTATTGATGGTTAGATAATAAAATTATATTAGTTATTCTTTAAAATTTTTACTAAAATAAAAATCGGCTTAAGAAAAAAAAATCCCATAACATCCGATAAGTAAAAAAAAAGTACGTAAAATCTTTACTAAAATAAGAAAGACTTTATTTATTTGTCTTATTCCATAATAACATCGATTTAGTCAAAACAAATCCCATAATCGGTGAAGTCAAAAAATTTACGTAAAGCCTATTTATACTAAAAAAAAGCAGATTCAAAATTCTTTATCTAATTTCTGTTTAAAGCATTTTATTTAATATCTATTTATATGAAATATTGGATAGGATTGCTGGATCTGAGTCAATTTTGAAATCGCGTTGTTTGGTATGAGAGGATTATCCGCATCTTATATCTGTCTAAAGCATATTATTTTATATTATTTAATTAATTTATTTAATACTAATTTTTTTTATCCATGATATCAGTTTTGTCAAAAAAATTGAAAAAACAAACAAATAAAAAAGAAACGGGATTAATTACCTTCGACTTGTAAAAAATTTATGGGTGGACTT